TTGTCGTCGCCCGGACGGACGTTCCACAATTGTTTGTGAACAGGTCACAATTTTTATCCGATTTCAATGAAACTTGAAATATAGGTTTATCACCCTAAGATCTCTGTTCCTTTCGATATTGGCATGTATCGGACTGTAACTTCATGGATTATGGCCCCTGATTGTACGAAAAATCACGTTTTTAGCTTGTGAACACTGTAATAGCGTAAAAATATGGTATATCAAGGTTGTGGACCCAATAGAGGTCACAATTTTTATCCGATTTAGTTTAAACTTGAAATGTAAGTTTATAACCTAAAGATCTCGGTTCCTTTTAATATTCGCGCATATCGGACCGTAACTTTATGAATTATGGCCCCTGATTGTAGGAAAAATCGCGTTTTTAGCTTGTGGACCCAATAGAGGTTTTAATTTTTATCCGATTTTAAAAACCGTGTTATTATATCACCGTTACACCCTAAGGACAGCTGAGTTCGAATTTCGTGAAAATCGGCCCAAAACTGACAGACAAAATGTCCGCCGTTCTCAAATAGCGTAAAAATGTGGTATGTCAAGGTTGTGAACCCTATAGAGGTCACAATTTTTATCCGATTTAGATTAAACTTGAAATGTATGATTATAACCCAAAGATCTTGGTTCCTCTCAATATTCGCTCATATCGGAACGTAACTTCCTGAATTATGGCCCCTGATCGTACGAAAAATCGCGTTTTTAGCTTGTGGACCCTATAGAGGTCATAATTTTTATCCGATTTAAAAAAACGTATTATTATATCACCGTTACACCCTTAGGACGGCTGATGTCGAATTTCCTGAAAATCGGCCCAAAATTGACAGACAAAATGGCCGCCGTTCATTCTCAAATAGCATAAAAATATTGTATATCAAGGTTGTAGACCCTATAGAGGTCACAATTTTGATCCAATTTTGATGAAACTTGAAATATATATTTATAACCTAAAGATCTTGGTTCCTTTTGATATTCGCACATATTGGATCATAACTTCCTGACCCTTGATTGTACGAAAAGTCACGTTTTTAGGAGGTGATTCCTCTTGATGTCACAATTTTTATCCGATTTAAAAAAAACGTTTGAATATATCACTGTTACATCCTTTTGATGGTTGAGTCTGAATTTCGTACAAATCGGACCAAAACTGACGGAGAAAATGGCTGCCCCCCGTAGGCAAATATTGTAAATATATGGTATATCAAGGTTTTGGACCCTCTAGAGAGAGTACACAAGTTTGATTCGATTTTGATGAAACTTGAAATACATGCTTATAACCCAAAGATCTTGGTTCCTTTCAATATTCATGCATATCTGATTGTAACTTCCTGAATTATGGCCCTTGATTGTACGAAAAATCACTTCTTTTTTTGAGCTTGTTCTCTGTGCATCTCTTGCAAGATGTGGGCGTATTTTGCATGGCAACCGCTTGTTAATCTAAAATGGCGGTGTTGGTATATCAGCCTCGCTGGCTTGTCATCACCTGCATCCATTGTCAATTGGTCTATCTAACTTTTTGTTACCACTTGACACACATCAGCTCTAGTCTCAATTTTTTTCATATTTGCAGGCACTTTTCACTTGATCTTAAGAAAGAACCTTTTAAAAAAAAAAAAAAATAGATTTGTGTCTAAATCAGATGATCATGATTGTTTGTTGTTTATTTTTCAGGTGTATGAATTGTTTGAAAGTTATTTTAAAGATGAGAAGGTTTATAAATCATCGCGCTGTGTTTCTATTGGTCAAGATGTGGTGCAAGTCGGCCATTCATTTCTACCCAGAGTTAAATGTGAGACATTGTTGAGTTGCCGATCATCGTTAAAGATATTACATCACTGTTTACAGCCGTTAGAGTCCATAATCAAATGTGTAGAAATGAACTGGATGGCCATTTTGGTAAGTAATTACTACCAGTCAACGATTCAAGTTTACATTTCTTTTCTTTCATGGGGGGTTGGATGTGTGCACTGTATCATAGGGTCTTGTCATTGAGTCAACTGGCGTGGTTTCGATTCCCAGGTTGTACATGACAAGGAGAAGGGTCGCCTGTCTAACCCTGTGGGTTTTCTCTTCTCTTGGTCCTCCGGTTTCCTCCCACTGCTAAAGAAGACCCCTACGCAGAAGCGAATTATTGAAATAAAATGAAACCATATGTTAGTCCAAAAATGACCTAGTTTGTGTTGAGTGGACATTAAATCCCATTTTTCTCTCCCTGTTTCTTTTTTTCATGACACGGTTAGAAAAGTTGAGACAGTGCCGTGAACTTTACCCTGTTATCTATATACAGTTCTGGAAATCAGGATTGAAGTTGTAAATGAATCTGGTTTATGGTGGGAATTTTACCCAGACAACAGCGCCTCGGTCTACTCATCAAATTGCGACTGCCAAGGGTTCTTTTAAGTTCACACCAATGTGTACATGGGGAATCTCGGTTATTTGTCCTCTCCCAACAACTAATAGATAGAACTCAATGACCATTGAATACTGCTCTGGTTATTCAATGGTTCAAGAGAGTGTATCTTTGCGACAGGGATACACTCTCTTGAACCAATGTTCATTGAGTTCTGTTTTTATTCTATAACTACATGTAAATCTCAAAATACACTGTACTATCCAGATTATCAAAAACAAAATCACCAATAACGTTAAAATTCATCATAGGTTCCGTCCTTTTTTCTTTCTTTTTATACAAAAATTGTGGTTGCCTAATGGTGATTTCGGTACAGTTTGACCTAATTCTGAAAATGACGTCATTCTGGACAAAAGTAGTATTTGTACAAGCCATTGAATACAACCATAGGTTGGTTATTCAATAGCTGTGTTCAATGATATTTGTTTGTATTCGCATGTAGATATAGAATAAAATATAATATTCTTTATCTAAGTGCAGGCCTGGAAATAATGGTTTTAGATGTACCTGACAAAATGTCAGACACTAATGAAATAGTAACTGACATGTAATCATAATATCAATAAAAAAAAACATATCAGTGCCGCCCAAAATGACAGGCAGCAGAGGTTTAGTGGCTGACAAAGCCTGAATCTGTGCCTGACATTGTCAGTGACAGGTGCCTTATTTCCAAGCTTGTCTAAGTGATAAGCAGCCTAAATAAACCATGATTAACACCTGAATTCTAGAATTGACCATATTATTTTTATAGGTCGGCTCTCAAGCATGTGGTAAAACCAGTTTAATTCGTCTGTTAGCGGAACTGACAGGGAATCCTCTACATGTTTTACCTATGAACAGTTCCATGGATACCACAGAACTACTAGGAGGTTTCGAACAGGTAAATTGCCTTTTGATTAAAATATATACTCAGCTTTTATAGGCCTTCTGTCATGCTGATTGTACCATTATAGTCTTCTGAGGGTTGGATGGCAGAATGGTTAGCGCATGCGCATTGCATCGTAAGGTCTGTCATTGAGTACCTGAAACAGGTGGGGTGTTGGATGGCCGAATGGTTAGCATGTGCGCATTGCATCAGAAGGTCTGTCATTGAGTCAACTGGCATGGTTGCAATTTCCCGGTTGTACGTGACAAGGAATAGAGTCGCCTGTCCACCAGTTTCCTCCCACTGCTAAAACCCCTATGTGCAAGCCAATTATTGAAATACAATTAAACCATGACATAGTTTGTGTCAAGTGATCGTTAAACCCCATCTCTCTCTCTCTCTCTCTCTCTCTCTCATATAATAAGGTAATTAATGAGAGTCATCTATTTATCATGGGATCAAAGAAGGGCACATCAGAGGGGCGTTGGATGGCCGAATGGTAAGCACGCGTGCGCTGTATCATAAGGCCTGTTATTGAGTCCACAGGCGTGGTTTCAAGTCCCCGGTTGTACATTACAAGGAGTAGGGTCGCTTGTCCAACCTCGTGGTTTTCTCTGGGTCCTCCTGTTTCCTCCCACTGCTAAAGTCCCCTACACGCTAGCGAATTATTGTAATACAATTAAACCATATGTTAGTCCCAAAATAACTTATTTGTGTCAAAAGCCACGTCATAGGTCAAAAGCCACTAGTATGACGCCTGACGCGACCTTCCAGTACAACTGGTCAGATCTTTATGTTGTATAGGCCATCAAAAGTATAAAAAAAAAACGAAACGAAATATAGTTTTTCAATCAGCTTATTTAAATTTGACTTATTGTATTTTCGTACAACTAATTAAAGTATGGCCTGAATATTCTGCCCTTGAAGCATGCTAAAGCCTCTTGTTATAACCCAGCTCAAAAAAGTTTCAAAACCGGGTCAGATCAGTGTATATTGCCGTCGCCCCCGTCCATCTGACGGTCCGTTATGGCCCTTATTTCACTTTGTTACACCTTGTGAACGCTCTAATGACAAAAGTGATCATGAAACTTATATGCATCATTTAGATAAGTGAAACGAAAAAGTCTATTGAATTTCAGCAATTTAAGTTCATTAATTCTAGAGTTATGGTCCTTGTTTCACTTTTTTGCACCTTATGAAAGCTTTAACGACAAAAGTTATCATCCAATCTGTGTGAAATTTATATGCATTTCTGTAAGTTACTTCCAGAGTTAAGGCCCTTGTTTCAGTTTGTAAATCCTGGAGAAACCTCAAAAGACGAAAATTATAATCTGATCTGTATGAAATTGTCCCTTGGCAGTTGGAATTCGATATAAGAGTAGGCTATAGTGCTGCTACCTGAGCAAAATGTCCCTCATAGCACACTGTATGGCGTATGCCCGTCTTCATTAGCCTTGTATAGGAGTAGGACATTAAACCCCATTTCATTTCATTTAATCTATTTTCTGTTGTCTATTTATTTATGTCACTGTACAAATATCACCTCAATTTTACCAACATTTCATAAATAATTCAAATATAAAGAATGAGATTATTCAGCATTATACAAAAACATTGTTTCAACAATTTAATTATCTGTATTGTTAATTTAAACATACATTATTTAAGAGCTAAATATGCCTATTGAAGGTCCGATGGCATCGGATACTCAAGATTTTAACTAGATTAGAACGGTTCGCCATTTAAAAATTTAATTTAAAAATGGGAAAGTGAGGATGTGTCTCGAATATACCAGTGCCCTGGTTACCACAATGCTCACATCTTGTCAAAACAACAAACAGTGATAACATGGCTCAGAATGAAGTAATTTGAATGAAATTTTCAATATTTTTATTTTACATGATCTATTTTTGAGCTATTATAGCAAGACAGCCAGCTCTTTATCTAAATCTTACATAATGCATCTTTGATATTTTAAAACATTGTTTAACAATTTAAGAAAGTTATCATTGAAGGATATATATTATAGTATTAAAGTCTGATGTTTCCCTGGACGTCGAAGGGAATTATCATAAGTTACTAAAGTTTCACAATCACAACCGCTAGCATCGTTAATTTCTGATAAACAGTTCGTTAAAGTTTCTGTCCTTTGGCTCTGGTAATGTTCGTTGATAAATCCGGTTTCGTATGCCTTATACTTCTTCTGTATTTTGTTACGTATCGTTTCTTTGGACCGCGAAGGTTTGAGAGGAATGGCGTTACTGTACACTTCACGAACTAATGTTTGCCGATTTAGAACATCGTAATAAATGATGCCACAGAATAGAGGTGTTGTGATTGGTTGCGACCAGGCGAGAACAGTTAGATATCGATAGATTCGTGGAGGTTGTTTGTAATGGATGTCGACTAATGTAAAAATAAATAATGGATACCAGAAAATCACAAATGATCCGACCATTAAAACCATGATCGTTATCCGCCGTAAATAGATCCGAGCATGTTGAATAGCCTTCGTTCCCGACACATCGTCAAATTCAAAATGGAGTTCCTCCTCTTCCGAATCATCATTCATTTCCCGAGACATTGATTTATGAATCAACTTCCATTGTTGAACCTTTGACTCACATCTTAATTTACGATAAAAGGTTGTAAAAGTCATTAAAGACAAGAAAACTGCTGCAGTGACCAAAAGCACCCAGAGCACATGAATAACATAATTACTTGGCACTCCGTAACAAAATATACAATTTCCGATGGCGTGATTAAACTCTGTACTTCCGGGTATAAAGGCGACTCCAAGATGTAGAAGTATTGTCGTAAACCAAATCATAAAAATTCCAAATAAAACACAGCAGTAATTTCCCTTGATTTTATTTGATTTATCCATGATGTGATATTCTTCGTTCATCAACACTGCTAATAAATTATACGCGGACACTGTCATTAAAAATATATACGAAGCTCCTACCACATGACACGCTGGTATCCGCGCGTCCATCAACAGACTGTATCCGAACGGAATGCAATACAGAGCTTTAAGAAAATCCAAGAAACAGTGATGACACAAAAAAGCTGATGATGTTTTCCTGAACTTTTTCACGGACATGATCGCACCAACGGTACACAAATTCCCGAATCCACCAATAATGGCCACCATGAATAAGATAGTCCCCTCTGTTTTGTCTTCGTGTGATTCATATTTTTTTTCCGTGAGATTTAACGAGAGGATTTTGGTGTAGGGATCGTCGTCCATTTCACATGGTGTATAGTCAGAAGACATGTTGAGTCATTGCTTTATATAAACTCCACGGACACCAGTAGAATTAAAGGGGATACTTCTTTGAATATTTTTAAATTGTAAAAAAAAAAAAAAAAGTCCCTTCTGTTTATGGCAAGGTTGACATTTTTAAACCCTGAAAATTAAAGCCATCTCCCATACTGATATCAAATTTGTATCAGCTTTCGCACGGGACTAAGATACAATTTGATTCAATCATAAGATGAAGATTAAAATATCTGCACTTTGAAATGAGATTCAGAACTTTCAAATTCACTTATTTCACTTTGGTTAAATCACAAATTAAACAAAAATCACCATTTTGATTATCATCCCTTTTTAGATCATGTTCATTGGTTGGGTAATTCTTTGGTACAATATTGATTTTCAAAGTCTGTGAATCAGAATTTTTTTTTCCCTAAAATTTCAATAATTATGAAACCTCATTTTAGTTAAAAACAATATTATATCCATTCCTTTTTAATTCTTGTTCATTTGTTGTTGTTTTTTTGGTAGATCAATGATTTAAAAATCCGTGAATCAGAATTTGTTTTATTCCCAGTTTTAATATTTATTAAACCTCATTTTAGTAAAATCAAAAATTGAAAAAATAAATTCAATTTATTACCATTGCTTTACAGATCTTGTTCATTTGTCTGATATTTTTGGTTGGATAATGATTTCAAAATCCCTGAATCAGAATCTTTTTTCCCCTCTTTTCAACATTGATGAAACCTTATTTTAGCTAAATCACAAATTTTCAGATCTTGTTCATTTCTTCGTATGATTATTGATTTCAAAATCCGTGAATCAGAATTTGTTTTCTCCCAGTTTCGACATTTATGAAACCATCACTTTAATATCGAGATTAAGAAACCCGCAAGAGCAGGTGTCGGGTGCCGATAAAACTCCAATCATGTAAATATTTGACACGGGTCACATCTGTTTGAGAACTTGACTAAATCTTCTGCTAATGAAGGTTAGAATTTGTCCCGTTATTACAGCTTTAACGTTGATCTTCTGCTGAAAAGATCAGGTGCTGAATTCTGAAAGATACAAAAAAACAAGATTACTTTATGCAAATGTTTTTGTTTGCAAGTCGTGTGTAAAAAGTTTGTTTTCTGGTTTTGTAAGCCGTGTGAATTGAAGAAGATTAAAAGCTTGTTGTTCCTGTTATTGAGAGATAAAAATAACAGCTTGTACATTGATATATTGTCATTGAAATAGCTCACTGTCGATACAAGGGGGTTGGATGGCCGAATGGTTAGCTTAGCACGTGCGCTCTGTATCATAAGGTCTGTCATTGAGTCAACTGGTAGGGTGACCCATGTACTCACAGAAATACAGTCCACCGCTGATAGTTCGAGACTACCACTGAAGCGTGCACATTTGCCGTGCCGAGACCAACTTTCTGACAGTATGATACTATAAATAGCCATGGCACGTGCAATTCTCTACAAATCTATCAACTATTACAGCCGTAAAAAATTTATTGTTGACGATTTTGAATAGCAGTTAAATTAAGCTTCTTGGTTATTACAGCAGATTTAGAAATTACGTTTGTTTCATTTTTTAAATCGCTTTATCATTAACTGTACCGTTAAGAGCGGCATCTTTTGGTTTAGTACAAATAATATCTCTGAATCACTCGGGTTAGGCAGGAACATGATACTAGCAGTAGTTTCATTTTACTTTTACAAGCTTCTTAAAACGATTGTTGAGCTACCTAACGTGCTTATTTCTAAATTCAATTTCTTGTTCTAGCTTTCTGTTACGTTTCGTAAAAAAGTAGTCTTGATTATACCGACCTGTCAATCAGATGTAGAATGGTCGATAGACTGGTTAAGCGAGACTAATTTCAAAACAAGGGCACGTAACCTATCTTTTACTCAAAAGTGTCTGGATGTTATGGACGACTCTTGGAACCAGTTTTCAGTCTATTATTTATACATGATTAATGGTCATAGCTTATTAAGTACAACATGATCGTTTATTTAGTGACTATAATTGTGTGAAACTGATTTGAGGCTTGGCATATATATAAATATTGTGGCGTAATTGTCGAGATATATGGAGATATTTATTTATGGTGGGTCACCCTACAACTGGAATGGTTTCGATTCACCGGTTGTACGTGACGAGAAGTAGGGTCGCCTGTCTAACCTCATGGGTTTTCTCTGGGTCCTCCGGTTTCCTCCCACTGCTAAAGACCCCTGCAAGCGAATTATTGAAAAGATAATGTAGTGAAGATCTTTTGTATTATGTTGCTAAGATACTAATAGTATATAAATCACATCCCATTCTATTCTGTATCTACTGATAGAATCGTTATGACAACCATACACAGACTTTCATTTGAATCTTAATATATAGTTGATGAGATGGGGGTGGAAGGTGCCGGTGAATAGTCTTTCGCTCTGATATTACGTAAACATTCAAACAATTGTATAAATTTTCCATAGATTAATCCAACACTAGATTACACTGGCTGACGGAGGAAGGTCCATAATTTCTAATTTATCCATTCGTCTGCCAGAATAAATTTGTTTTATGATCTTCGAGAGTAAAAACTCTGTTTGAGAATTAAACGACTCGTGGAAGATTAATTATTATGTAATAAAAGATTGATGGTTGTTGGTTGAATCGAGTCGGATAGTTTGTTGAAAGGCTGAAATGTAATTGTTTTTATTGACGTTTTTATTATCTATAAATAATTTTATCTTTATAAATCATTCAACAGTTTAGCCCCAAGAGTTGAGGTTCGTTCAGTTAAAACAATGAATTCTTTTAGAATACAAGGAGCAGCAGCTTTCTAAAAATGATATTTAAAAAAATTTATCAGTTTCTAACTTGCTTTTTAGAAAGATGCCCTGATTGTTAAAACAGACAGAGAGAAATGGGGTTTAATGTCCACTCAACACAAACTAGGTCATTTCAGGACTAACACATGGTTCAATTTTATTTGAATAATTTGCTTGCACGGAGGCGTCTTTAGCAGTAGGAATAAACTGGAGGACCCGGAGAAAACCCACGAGGTTGGACAGACGACCCTACTCCTTGTAATATACAACCGGGGAATCGAAACCACACCAGTTGACTCAATGACAGACTTTATGATACAACGCGCAAGGAGCTAACCATTTGGCCATCCAACTCCCCGATTGTTAAAACAACTCACGATTAACTTTTTGAAATTTTACTTTCTTATTTATTGATTTAAAAAATTTAATTTTCATGATTACTGTTGGAGTTATTGCCCTTCACCAATTTGAAAAGGAGGTTGTAGTTACTATCCATTTGACCTTCAAATTGCTTACGTTTCTGTAATTTCAATCATTGCCGAACATTGTTCTGAAGATATGATTTCTGATCCTTAGTGCAATCTATGAAAAAGGTAAAAGCCCTAGAGGAGCCTTGGGTTAACTAATATTTCACTAGGCTAAAGAGCAGTCATATATTTGTCACAGGTTATAATCTTTAAGTGGCATTTAGCGATTGGGAAACACATTAACAGAACACAATTCTGTAGGAAACAATCACTGGTTTTTATTCTAAAAGCACAAGGTTTCAACAAGTATCCTATTATCGTTGTGCTTGATAACGGTAAGAGGATACTTGTCGAAATGTCGTGCTTTCAGAATAAAAAAACAGCAATTGTTTCCCATTAAAATTGTGTTCTGTTGATTTGTCACAGGTTATTGACATTTTCTAACAGTGTGTTTTTGTCATTTTTGTAGGCCGATGTGTGTCGTCATCTAGAAGAGATTTCTGTTGATGTCGAATTTCTGTTGTCGAGATGTCAGAAGTCAACCCTAACCAATAACCAATCAGTAAACACCAGCTCTATACAAAACCTGCATCAGCTGTGGTCCCACTACACTTCCATCAAACTTACAGGTAATAATTTATATAATAATAAAATGGCTGTCGGACGTCCAGACATAATTTCCTGTGACCACTGGAGGTCGTATTCCTTACATACAGACCTGGAAACAATGGTTTCAGTTATACCTGACAAAATGCCATGCACGCATCAAGCTGTAGCTGACTTTTTTTTTTTTTTTTTTTTAAACTATATTTTATTCAATAAGAATAGGATTGGGGAACAGGCTAGGCCGACATTTTGAACGTTGTGTTAATAAAAACATGGAAAAAAGACAAATCAGTTCCAGACAAAGTGACAGGCACCAGAGAGATTGTACCTGACAAAACCTAAACTCATGCTGGACAATGTCTGTCACAGGTGCTGTATTTACAGGCTTGCTTACAGATACAGCAGGTACGTTCAGACCTCAGGTAATTCATTCAGTAGAAGACACAGTGAACATGGCCAGGTTACAGTGGACAGTGGAGAGAGACCCTCCACTCGACACAAACTAGGTCATTTTGGGACTAACATATGGTTCAATTTTTATTTCAATAATTCGCTTGTGCGTAGGGGTCTTTAGCAGTGGGAGGAAACAGGAAGACCCGGACAAAACCCACGAGGTTGGACAGGCGACCTTACTCCTTGTCACATACAACCAGGGAATCGAAACAATGCCAATTGACTCAATGACAGACCTTATGACACAGCGCACACACACTAACCATTCAGCCATCAAACCGAATAGTGAAGTACTGCAATATAATATATATAGGGAATTCGATATATCATTGGACCCCATCAACAGCCATCCAGTACAATATGCAGGGGACTCACTATAACACAAGTTATATCAGTGGAGCCCCCAATAACAGCATTATCGTGAAGCTCGTACAATATAATATATACCGGTAGGGCTATAATGTGGGTATTATTTATGTACCCCAACAACAATATAATATATATGGGGTACCTAGCTATATAATGTTGGTATTATTCATGTACCCCAACAACAATATAATATATATGGGGTACTATTATTCGTCTACCCCAAC